CAGTTGACTGTGGTTGACGACAGCCTAACCTAGTGCACCCTGTTTCCACGACCTTCTGAGCAAACGACGCTCGCTTTGTGAGAATAAAGGCTGCAATCGATTTCACATTGCTCCTGCTTCTACTTTTACCTTCCTTCTCACTACGCGGTACTACTAAACCCCGCCAAGAAGTGCCTCATCATCCCCACTACCTCACCTCCAACACCGACTCCGACACCCCGCCCACCCAGCTCCATCTTCAACCACGCACCCAGCAACCGCCAAGATGAAGATCACATTCAAGGTAGACACCGACTGCCTTGTTCAGCACGTTACAGCCTGCTAACCTGTGCAGGACCTCAAGCAAAACAAGTTCGTCATCGAGGCCGAGCCTTCGGAAACGGTGCGCAGACCCGCCACATCCAGAAAATTATCGCAACCGCCCTGCTGACAGACACACTAGATTGGCACCCTCAAATCCAAGATCCAGGCCGAAAAGGGCTGGGAAGTTCCCCAGCAGAAGCTCATCTACTCCGGTAAGCTGCTGAGGTGACATGGCTGCTCAGCACAGTCGCTGACACAAGACAATAGGCAAGATCCTGCAAGATGCCAACACGGTCGAGTCGTACAACATCGAGGAGAAGGGCTTCATCGTCTGCATGGTCTCCAAGCCAAAGGCCGCCGCCGCATCGTCAAGTAAAGCAGCGCCCTCAACGCCCGCTCCCGCAGCAGCCCAGACGCCCGCAGCTCCTGCCGCGCCCGCACCTTCATCCAACACACAAAACGCCCCCGCTACACCTTCTCCTGCGCCAGCCCAGGCATCTGGCGAGCGCTTCAATGACCCCTCGGCTCTGACTATGGGTGGAGAGCGCGAGGCCGCTATTGCCAACATGGAGAGCATGGGTTTCGCGCGCGCTGATATTGACCGGGCCATGCGCGCCGCCTACTTCAACCCCGACCGCGCGGTTGAGTATCTCCTGACGGTAGGACAAGTGACCATTCTGGCCTCGACACACGTGCTGACATCATTCTAGGGTATTCCGGAGAGCGCGCTCCAAGAGCAACAGCAACAAGCACAAGCCCGTGCCCCGACCTCTCCCACGCCCGCTGCTGGCGGCGACACAGGTGCGACACCTGCGCCTGCCGGAAACGCACCATCCGGAGGTGACGAGCCGATGAACCTCTTCGAGGCCGCTGCCCAGGCTGCTCAAAATCGCGGAGGTGCTGGCGGTGCCCGCTCCGGTGGTACTGGCGGCGGTGCTGCGGCCGGTGCGCTCAACGCCAATTCTCTCGAGTTCCTGCGCAACAACCCACAGTTCCAGCAGCTACGACAGGTTGTACAGCAGCAGCCACAAATGCTTGAGCCCATCCTACAGCAGGTCGGCGCGGGTAACCCTCAATTGGCGCAGATGATCGCAAACAATCCAGAGCAGTTCCTGCAGCTCCTGGCCGAGGACGCAGACGAGGACGCGCCGCTGCCACCCGGTGCTCAGGCCATCTCTGTAACTGAGGAGGAGCGCGAGGCTATCGAGCGCCTGTGTCGCCTTGGGTTCGAGCGCGATCTCGTTATCCAAGCATACTTTGCATGCGACAAGAACGAGGAGCTGGCCGCGAACTTCCTGTTTGACCAACCCGACGATGCCGACGACCAGTAGGGGGACCTCGAGTTCTGTGCGATCACTGTGCGACCTTACCATACCCGATGTCGACCCTCCTCCGGCTGATATCACCGTTACAATCGCACGACAACCATCCCGAAATTGGACGAATACTATCTCGAGTCCATTCCCATCACACGGCTCAGTGCAGTTACTTGGGAATACGGAAAGGAACATTCCGACTAGTCCCACTGCTTACCATGACGATAACATGATACCTTCCGCATGCGGCACACGTAGGAGCTGGACCTGCTGGTTTCTGGGTAGTAGATGGACCGGCGTATGCCTGCTGGGCGAAAGTACTAGCTCATCAATAAATCACCACCCCATTCCATGTATTGAATTGCAACATGACATGTAGTATAACGCCGAACTGAAATGCCCATTGACAGACTACCGTACCCCAACACTACCATTACTCACGTTCTACCCGAAAACGCACCGGCACCCCGAAACGGCGAACCGCAAAGATAAAATAGAAAAAAGCTACACAGAACCCTGGCTCCAAGCTGTTCCGAGAAAGGTATACCAAGGTGAAGGGGGGAGAGGAAAAGCACAGCCTCACTCGTCTGACCCACCCCTTTGTTTATTGGATCCTCAAAAAGAAAAACAGTCGTCTATGCCATCTACCCAGACCCCACGTTCACGATATCTCCTTTTTTCGCGGTCAAAACTGCCGCGTCGGTCTGCGACCCGCGAGAGTTGTTTTTAGCTGTTGGCGTTGTCGTTGTGTGTGTAGCATGGTAGTTATTTTTGTTGTCCCCTGACGGCCCGCTCCCTTGCGTTGATCGTTGATCGTTCTGGATCCCGCTTCCGCTTTCTTATCTAGGGTTTACATCCGCTTGGTCGGTTTTATCTTTGTTGCTTTTCACCGTATAGATGCGGTGATGTGCTGTGACGCGACCTGTGGTGGCGAAGGGATGGGTGATGCTGGCTGGCTGCATGAAGGGATCGTGAGTTTGATTCAGGAGGTGTTGGAGGGTTGTTGTAGGTGTGATGTGGTGAAGCAGTTCTAGAAAATCACAGGTGGTGGATCAGAGTTGTAAAGAGGTAGATGTGAAGACATGGCTAGATAAACGACTAGAAGGTATCAATTCCGCAGAACAGTGGTATACAAGTAAACTGGAGAACTGATCACGCTTCGACGGCAGTAGCCTTCCTCTTGCGACTTCTCTTCTTCTTTTTCTTCTCGCCCTCGACAATGTTGCTGTCGTTGTTACTGTCATTACGATTGTCGCGCCTAGGTGCCGCAACCTCTTCTTCGCCAAGCAGAGTCTCGAATCCGCCCTTAGGTCCATCAGGGTTGCCAAAAGTGTCTTGCCTCCACTGCCTGATGCGAGCCTTCTTGCTGAGGAACTTCTTATCCTTCTTCTTCTTGATGGGATCTCTGAATGCGGCAAGTTTCTTCAGGCCTGCGAAGTCGTTCAGAGCTTTGTCGTCTGCCAGCAAGATGTCGCGGGCGGTCAGACCGAAGCTTGTGGGAGATGTTTCGCGGTAGCGGAAGCGGGAGGCGGCTTTGGAGGGCTTGGCGGCGAGAGCGGCTTCGTATTCGAGGTTCTGGTTGACGAGGTTTTCTATCAGGCGGCGATCGCGACGTGCGGTGGATTTGGCTTCGGCGCGTTCCTGTTTGCGCTGCTTGGAGGACTTCTTGGAGGATGCACCGGCTTCTTCGTCATCGTCCTCGGCTTCAGCGTCGGGCATTTCCTCGTCGGATGAGAGGTCGGGTCGCTCTTCTTCGGAGTCGTCTTTGAAGTCAGGGACGAGATCCTTAATATCGATATCATCGTCGAACTTTGGCTTCTTAGGCTTCTTGCTCTTCTTGCCGCCTTCTTCCTCATCCTCGACAGTGTCTCCGTAGTAGGCATCACCGAAGCGCTTCTGCATTTCGGCGTCCCATTGCTCATCTGACCAGTCGGCTTCCAACACCTCCTTCCACTCGTCAATGTTGAAGTCCCTGCCGCTCAGACCTCCGATCTTGCGGATCTGCTTGACCTTGCTCTCCATGTCTTCCACCTTGAGCTTTCGGAGACGTGCAAGCTCCTGCTCCTTCTCTCGTCTCTCGGCTTCTCTCTTCTGTCTCGCCTGTTCACGGGCCTTGCGTCGGCCGCTCTTGTCGTCTCGGCGGACCGTAGTGCTTGCGACAGCATCACGCGCATATGTCATGATCTTCTCGTTCGCGCCCGTTGTATCCTCAAAGTATAGGTTGTACGAGTTTTCCCACTCGTCTGCGGCGGCATCTTCATCTTCATCGTCGGACAAGAGGGGTTGGAAGCGGGCAGATTGCGTGGGTACCCAAGCGCGAGACGCCATGAAGTTGGACAGGAAAGTCTCGGGGTCCTGGTCGGCCTTCTCGACATCCTCGGCGGTGATCTTGGGTTTATCGCTCTTGGACTTCTGCGGCTTCTCCTTTGCGACGATGAAGTCGTCGTCTTCCTCCTCGTCGGCATCCTTGAGCGCCTTGACGAGGTCCTGCCTAGCGTCTTCCTGTTCCTGCGCATATGTCTTCGGCGGCGCATCCTCGTCATCGTCTTCGCCCGTGTACTTTCCCTCGAGCAAATTCTTGGTGTGGTAGTCGCGCAGTGTCATTGATGGCTCCTTCTTCTTCTCGTCTGTGCCATTTTCGCCCTCTTCGAGTTCGCGGTAGAACTTGACTTCCTTGTTGTAGATGCGAGGGTCCTTTGCGCGCAGAGCCTGGAGGGTGGCATTGACCTGTTCGTCGAGATCTTCGTCGAGTAGCTCGGCTGCATCATCCTCCTCTACGCCCTCCTCTGAGTCTTCCGACTCGTCGCCGCCGTTTTGGAACGCCTTGTCCTTGCCGTACTTTTCCTCTACTGCATGAAGTTAGCACTGAACGTGACTGTGCCCTGACTAAGCCTACATCGGAACTGCTCGGCGCGCTTCTTGTTGTGCTCGAACTTGCGGGCGTATTCCTCGTTGACCTTGAGCGAGACTCCGCCGCCGTCGCTGTCGGAGCCTTCATCGTCGGTGTTGTCGAGCAGCTTGGCCTTTTTCGCGGGGGGCTCGTTGGCGGCGTTCAGGTCGCGCTTGACGCCGCTGCTGCGCTTCTTCTCCTTGGTGCCTGCCATGGTGGATGTTGTGGATGCTGAGGTTGTGCAGGAGCGTCTCGCGCCGGGCCTTCACAAAATTTTGGTGGAGTAGGCGCTAGCGCGTGAACTGACGTTCGCCGCGGCGGTGACGATGGACCCGCCGCAACACCAATCGAGCGGTGCATGGGCGAGGAGGTGCACCACGCGACACGCCCACCCACGCCGCCGACCATGTATAATAGCCTGCCTGTCTAGTCTCCTTCTGCTTGTTCCTGAGATACCCATTCCTATAGCCTTTGTTCGCGAAGTCGGCAGCATGGCGGAGGAGAAGCCGCCGCAGCTCAGCATAGAGCCCGTGTCACGGCCGCTGGATCTGATGTAGGCCGAGACGATACGCCCGAGTACGCGGGCATGCTGACAATTGCATACAGACCCGTCGTCATCAAAGAAGCCGCCCTCGACTCGCCCACCTTCCGCGCGACTGCCGTCCACTACGGCGACCAGATCGAACTGATAGAGCGATGGCTCCACTCCTTCATCAGCGCAACCTCGACGCTTGCCGCAGAGTGCAACAAGATGCAGGGGCTCGTGGACACGTACATACAGACCTCGCACCCGCCGCTGCAGCTCTCCGAAGCCGTCGTCGACCACGACTACACCGTCCTGGCCCTGAAGCGATTCGGCGAGGGCGCCCGCGAGTTCTGGAACGGCACGCTGCGCAGCATGAAGAGGGCCGAGGCGACCATGTGCGAACCCATGCGGGCCTTTGTGTCCAACGACCTGCGCATGCTGAAGGAGGCGCGCAAGAACCTCGACTCGACACAGCGCACCTTTGACGGAGCCATTGCGCGGTACGCAGGCCAGATCAAGACGAAGGAGGCGTCCTCGCTGAGAGAAGACGCCTTCCAGTTGCACGAGGCGCGACGGGCATACCTCCAGGCCAGCATGAACTTCTGCGTCTTGGCACCCCAAGTGCGCCTGACACTGGACAAGATACTCGTCAAGGTGGTCAACGAGCAGTGGCGCGACATGAAGGCGGCAACAGATGCGTCCAACAAGGGCTTCAACATGTGGACCTCCGACGTCGAGCGCGTGCGGGGCTGGAGTAAGGAGATGGAGAACGGCGAGCGTGTCTTCAAGCGGGAGCTCCATCTAGCACGCCAGCAGATCGAGGGCGCCGCCGAAGTTAGCGCAAGACCATCGCGAGAGCTGGACACCTACGCCGCTTCGACCGTCCCATACCTTGGCGCTGCGCCTTCGTCAGCGAACCTACAATCCCCGGCGAAGCCTGAGTTCGGCAGCGACAAGGCGGAAAAGCAGGGCTGGCTGTTCCAGCGCACAATCACCGGTAAGCCGGCCAGGACCTACTGGGTCAGGCGCTGGTTCTTCGTCAAGAACGGGATCTTCGGCTGGCTGACACAGGGCACGCGGTCCGGCGCCGTGGAAGAATCAGAGAAGATCGGCGTCCTGCTCTGCGGTATTCGACCAGCCTTTGCTGAGGAGCGACGCTTCTGTTTCGAAGTCAAGACGAAAGACACCACAATCCTTCTACAGGCCGAGACGCAGAACGATATCACTGAGTGGATCTCTTCCTTTGAGGTCGCCAAGCGCAAAGCACTTGAAGATACATCAAAGGATCTGTCGGGAGCTGCCTCTGTCGACGCCGCTTTCTCTATAAGCCCTCCTGTGGCCCCTGAGTTCGCTGCAAAGACCTCCGAGGGACAAGCCGGCCAGCCTGGTGAAGACACCGTCAGCATGGACCGTACCGAATCGCTCGGCGTTCCTGGTGCTGACAGCAATGCGACACGCGGTAGCTTCGATGTGTCGGCTCGACGTGGCACAACAACTGAAGGCGACAGCAGCCGCCGCGATCACACTGCCAGAATCATGGAGAAGCTCGACTTGACAAGGAAATCAACAGTAAGCCCTCAGCTGAGTGGAAGCAACCCCTCTTCCGCCAGCGGTGGCATTGCTAGTCTTATCTCCGCAAGTCTTGCTTCAGCTAGTCATAACATTGTACAGGTCGGACAGATTGCGGCGCCTGCACCTGGCCTCCCTGATACTCGGCTTGTCATGGGCCAGACACTTCCATATACCAGTCTTGCGCCTTCCACCCTTGCGAGCCCGCCGGCTCCGACCAACCTTAGCAAAGCCGCTGTCGCTGTAAGCGGAGAGCGAGGTCTCGGGACAGGTCGCTCAGGTAACATGCCTGGTGGGCTCATGGCTAACCTCTGGGGCTCGGTCAACTGGGGATATGTCAACGTCCTTGGGCGCGAAGATGAGACCAACACGCGCGACCGCAGTCAGTCTGGACCTCCGAGTCCTATTAACCCATCTCCTGTCCTTGGACCCAGCGATGAGAAGAATGGAACACCTCCTGTTCCTACCGGTGCTGTTCATCGCAAGTCGAGCAGTATGGGCGGACCCATTCCAATACTCACTAAGACCAACCACGACGAGGTCGACTTCCCTAACTACTACCCACTCGCTCTCCGGATGCAAGACGCTCAGTTCCGGATCTTGTTCCCCACCGTGCCACGCTCGGAGAAAGTCGTGCTGGTTTTCAGAGCTGTATGGAATCCGACAGATCAACAAGAGTTCCCCGGGCGCGTGTACGTCACAACTAAGAACATATACTTCTACAGCAATCACCTGGGTCTTGTACTTATCACGGGAATAAGCATGTCTTCTATCGATGAAGTCACTGCTGCTCCCGGCAAGGACTGCGACTTTCTTTTCCTCCATTTCAAGTCAGGCGCAAGGGAGGATGGCGCTACTAGGCTCACTGTGAAGACGTTCCTCGAGCCTCTGAAATTGCTCTTGCGTCGACTGAATTTCCTCGTACGCAATACTGCCTCTGGAGAGCACAACCTCGAAGAAACGATGAAGAGAATGATCAGGATGGAGACGGATGAAAGCCTCAATGCCCCTGGTGAGGAGGGTTGGGAGGAAATCTCTCCAGACACGCCTGTTGATACAGGCTATGGCGGGAAGAACATCAAGACCAGCCTGCGCATTGATGGTAATCTGTTCGGACCATCCGGCGCAAGTGCCGCGAAGAACGCAACCAAGTTCAAACTACCGTCGCAAGCTGTAGTCTTTGCTCCAGCTGGCATGACGCAGGTTGCCGTGGAGAAGGAGTACGACATCAGCGCAAAAGGCCTATTCCACATACTCTTCGGTGACAAGAGTGCAGTGTTCCAGCTACTGTATCGAGAACGGAGAGCATCCCGCATCGTCCAAGGGCCGTGGATCACTAGCGATAAAAATCTTCAGCGACGAGATTTCGAGTACGAAATTGCACAGCCTGGTAAGAACGGAGCTGTTGTCATAAACGACTACCAGGTCATCGAAGTCCTCAACGACCATCTTTGTTACGTGGTCTCGGATCGCAAGACACCCTGGTACCTGCCAGGCCACGATCGATTTGTGCTTCTTAGCAAAACAGTCATCACACATGTGTCCAAGGCGCGATGTAAGCTTGCTATCCACACAAAGGTGGACTGGAAGCGCAACCCACGTTTTGCGAGGAAACTTATCGAACGCCAAGCCCTGCAAGACCTGGAGCTTGAGGCGCAAGATCTTGTTGATGTCGTCAATGATCAAGTCGCCAGGCTCGGCCACAACAGAAGCACGAACAAGGTCACAAATATCTTTGGCCAGATCGGCGCCCAAACACAAGCTGTACAGCTCGACGCGCAGGATATACCACCGCCGAACCGACCTCGGAAGTTCAAATTACGCCCGCAGACGACCGCATCTTTTGTCGCGCAATACATAGGGAACATCATTATAAGTGTGGTGTCAACAGTCATGAGCTGGATATTGGCGATCGTAGCCGGTCTTGGCAAAGTTATCTCAGCACACACATTGCTCTTTGGCCTTTTGCTAGTCAGCGGTGGAGCCAACTTCTTCTATACTTCCAGGGACAGTTGGAGCTGGTGGCACGAGCGAAATGCCGCTAATTACATGTCGCGATTGGGTGTCAAGCCATCGACTACGATGACCCGCTCGATCTACATTCGCGATATCGAGGAGTCGTTCTTGAACCGGAACAACACCAATCTTGAGCTTTCAGTGCCAGTCGCGGCGAGCACTGATAACAAATGGTATGCTTCTTCACCTAGAGATGCCAACTCAGCTAACTGTATACAGCCACCAGACGTTCACAACCCTCCTCCACGATCCCTCATCTACCGTCTCCACCCAGTCTTTCTTCAAACCCTCTACGCATAGCACCCAGCGCCTCCACCGCACGCGACAAAGCCTCGGCTCGCACCGTCACGATCTACTCGTTGCTTTACGCGTCGTCAATCGCATTGAGAAGGAAGTGGTGGAAGCGGAATACGAGAACTGGCTACTGGATGAGACACATAAATGTAGCAAGGTTGGAAAGCTCCTAGAAAGCGCAGCCAAGAAGGGCAAAGAGAAGCAGGTAGAGGACTGGGTCAGAGGGTACTGCGGGGACTGTCAAAAGAGTTTGCAGGTGGTTGAGGAGAGCCGGAAGGGTCTGATATGAGCCCTACTTCGGTTAGCCACTGAGCACAAGAATATGTAATGGGACAGTCGGATGGGAAACCTGGTAATGCCATCGCACAAGCGACGAACCGAACCTAACTTTATCGAATTTAATAACGAAATAGACCCTCAATTTCGTCAGTCAGGGCGACCTCGGCGCTCCTGACTCCGTACCTTGGGTCTCTTCTACACTTACCTTTATCATCACTTATATTACTACCCGACCCGCTCTCACCTTCACACTCGGATAAGACTCTGGAATTTGTGTGCGCAGATCTAACCAGCTCGCACTGCTAACCTGTTTAGCTGGACAACCGCAGCCATGTCTAAACTCGAGTCCGGAATGTCGTGTACGCTGAAAGATGATACCATCACAGTAAATGACGACCTCAAGATTTCCTTCCGACGCACAGTTCGTGTGCCAGATATCTCCGAGACGAACTACCTCCCCCCTAACCTCGGCGCCTTCCCACTCGAAGCGGTGTCACGGCACAGCGCCAAACTGCCCAAGGCGATGATCGTAAAGAGCGGCGTGTTCTTCCCCATGTACCGTAAGCATCGTCAAGACTGATTGGAAATCGAACGTCCAGCTGACAAGCGTGCAGAATCCGAGGCGATGTGGATCAACTTCAGCCCTGTCCAAGAGCAAATGCATCCCTACAAGATCAAAATCTACGTCGGTGGAGTGAACGTCATCTCCGCCGAGCCCGCCATCGAGACCGTGGCCAACCAGTTCCGACGACAAATCCGACTAGGAAAGGCTCCTGCAGACGCCAAACCCGTATCTCCCTTACAAGACTACATCGTCGTCCCACAACAGAAGTGGATCGATGGCATCGCTCACGGAGACGGCACAGTCCGGCAGTTTGTCGCTATGCCCAGCAACAGCGGGGCTTCAGTCGAAGCGCAGATCACAGGACAAGAAGCCACAGCCGGTATCCAGATCGAGATCACGCCTTACAAACTGCCCGGTCCACGAGCCTTTCCCGGTGAGCCCATGCAGATCTTCCTCAAGCAGCTCAACGGTACGACCAAGACGTTTGACGTTACCCATCTGGAGCCCATCAGCAACTTCAAGCTGCGTATCCGCGAAGTTACCGGTATACCCACGCAAGACATGCGTTTGATCTACGCTGGGAAGCAGCTCGAAGGTAAGCCAGCCACCCACCTCCGTCACCACATCAATCCCCAATCATACTAACCCTCCCACCAGACTCCCGCGACTTCGACGACTACCGCATCTACAAAGAATCCACCATTCACATGGTCCTCCGCCTCCGTGGCGCCGGTCCCCCAGACCCCATAACCGCGCAGATGAACCTCGCAGCCGGCGGCCTCATCCACCAAGTCATCCACCGCGATACCCTCCGCCCCAACTGGGATGTTGCCAAAACCACCGTGTTCAACGCGCAGATCTTGAATGCAGCGCTGTACGAGACTGTTACGGGACGGAAGCCGCTTACCCGACCTCTCTCGCATGAGTTTTATGCGACGCATGGGTTCCCGTATTACAAGATGTATGAGGAGAATAGTGGGGTGTATGGCAGGTTTGGGGCGATCAAGTCAGTGGGTCAGTTGAAGGGGCAGGGCAAGGGAGAGGGCGTGGTTAGTGCGGTGAAGGTTGTGGATGGGGGGTATGGGAGCGGAATTGAGGTGATGAATCCGCAGGGGCCGTATCTGGTGTCTGAGCCTATGGAGGAGGTTGAGGAGGCGTTGGAGGGGTATCATATCGCTGAGTTTTAGACTCGTGATGTATTTGATGGCTAGGGCGCAAGGTCTGATTGATGGCATACACGATTGGGCGCAAGTAGGGATATGGAATCGAGCTATCCGTTTCGCTCATTGGGGACAATGGGAAAAGTGTAGTAGCATGGTAACTACATACTAGGAAACCGATGCACAATCTCTTCCTTCCGTCTTCCATTTCCACCCGCGTGATCGAGGTCTTGGTGTCTAGGTGTAGTACTCTCGCGTATCATTCATTTGACACTCTCTCATCACAGTTCTGCGCCCATCGCGGCTTGCGCTTAGCGATACTGTCTCCTAGTTAGCCTTCATCTCATCGTTCCCGGTTCCTTCTTTTTCTTTCTCTTGTTTTGCTGCGAAACACCACACTCCGCATCTAATCACATACCTTGACGAACCCAATGTCCTGCGCCTTCTCACGGAAAGCCTGACGACTCATGTTGATTCCGTACTTGCGAATGATACCGGCCTTCTTCTTGTCACCGGTGACGACACTGTCTCCTCATCAGCACAGCCCATTTTCTTTTAGCCGTCATTTCATTTTCTCAGATTCCGTCACAGACATACCAGCCGATAGAGGCCTTTCCGTACTTGCGCGGGCGCGAGTACCAGACTGATTCGTGCGACATGTTGGCAGTTTCGTTCGATCGATAAGGTGAGGTTCTTGCGAAAGAGCTGCAGAAATTCTAGGCAGGTAATTTCGATTTTGTGTGTGGCGCGGATTGGCGAGGTTCAGAAGTTCTGCATGGGTTGGTTGGTGTGAGGTAGTACCTTGTTGGACAGTCTGTCCGGGGTTGCGTATCACGGTACTCGCAAAAAGGGAAGTAACGTGATTTTGAACGTCATGTCTTGCAATGGTTGTTTTGGTGTTCTTTATGTGTTTCATTGAGTTCGTGGCTAGGGGTTGTGTTAGAGTAGACGGTTGCCAAGACTTGGGTGATGGAGACGATGATCTGGTCAGATAGGTATCTACCTCAGACACATAGAGCGCTCGTAGAAGTCTGAGCCCTGTTGAGCGATTGAGTCGATTAAGAGAATGATGGTTGTTTTGCTGTCTGTCTACCTGAGCCTGCTCGAAGAAATCTGAAGATGTACGAAAATATCTATCATCACGACCTTTACCGTTAGTACGCCAATAACACCCATGTGGACAAGAGATATCGGGTTCGATAACCTCAAAATCAGAAATGCGCAACCCGGTTTGACCGCCAGCGGCCAATTGCTTTTGCGGCCGTGACTGTATCGAGCTTGCAGTGCTCGAAACCGTTTCAAGTCATTCCCGTCTCCGATATGAAAGAGCTGCCACCTCACAAGACATCTAAAGTAATCAGTCATACGTTATTCATGTTCGTCCGTCTCGTTCTTGATGGCATTTCGCCTGAGAGGGCTGAACTCCAAAGGTGCAGTTCGATGATCATGCCGTCGTCAAGATCGAGATCAAGGTACCATGCGTTACTAGGCGCAGAACTTAGTCCTTGGTAAGTGTGAACGTCGGAGGGATCATGTTGAATGTCGTGGAATGATGGAATGAGTAAGCCAGTCATTCCATGCACCCTCAGAAGATACAGGCTTAAATCGCCTGCTTCTTCTCAAATGTCGTCGATATCGTAGTAGTCGTCAAAGCCATATGGTGGACGCCGGATCTGAGGTCTCGCCCAACCGTTGCCAACATCATCGTCGTCCTTCTCTGCATCTAGTGGCGTCCAAACGATGACTTTCTTTCGCACCCTCCAACTTCTCTTATGAAATCTCGCTTTCATGTCCCTCTCTTTTCCGTAACCAGGTGACTTTTGAGTGACATCCACGTTGTCGCCGCGCTTCACTAAGACAAGCAGCGCCTTTCGAGCGCCAGCGCCCTTTGTCAAATCCTCATCGTCCACCCTGCCGAATCCCTGGAGTTCATGCTCTTCTGGGCTCTGTTCGAAAGACTCTCGTCTGTTTGGGTCAAGGACGGACGTGCAGTCATTCTCTTCTGTCGATCTGAAGACTTGGACGATTGACCCGGAACCCTCCCCATCCCTGTTCCACAGTCTCTTGTTCCAAAACCTCGGCTGAGGCTGACGGCATATGTCACCGGTCTCGCGAGATCCGTGGCTCCTGGAGGGGCTGAAGCCGAGCATGCGCGAACTTCGAGTGACATAACGAAGCTCCTTCCAACCGTTCCCGCGGTTGATCAAGTTTGTGATAGCGTCATACTCCGGTGCAGCAGCGGCTACCGCAAACACGGTCAGGCAGTCCAGTCGGAGCGCAGGGAGAAGCTGAAAGATCGATTCGTGACGGTACATGAGGTCGTCGAACCCTTTGAGATATCGCATCATTGGGGAGCCGATGAGCCGAAGGTGGCGGATTTTGGACACGGTAGATTCAGGCAATTCGGAGAGTCTGTTTAGCATAGTCTGAGGGTCCTCAAAGTTGAAAGTAACACGCTGAAGCCATATGTCGCGTGTTTCGATGTGTATCTGGCGGGATACGCGCAATAGCGCGAGGGAATGTGGGGCAGGCTTGAGATACCTCTCGCCATAGCGGGGTGTGTATCGCAGGCCGAACGTCAGCCTCGTCGAGTTGAAAGCCAGCTCCCATATCTCGTCGCGCAGTTCTCGAGGCAGTTGCAGCAAGGGACTCGAGTCGTTCATTGCAGTGTTGTCGTCAGTCATTCTTATCGACCTGATGGAGGTTTGGCGGGGTTCATTGTACCAGCGGTACCGGCCGCTCTTGGGCGGGATGAAGTAGTCTTCGTCCTGGATCATCATCTTGGAGAAGGTTTGCCCTGCATTGGAATCGAAGGCCGTGGATGGCACCGAGACATGGGGATTGGCCAGCTGATAAGCCCTTGGTGGTGTTCAGCGCCAAGCAGGTTCCCGGCTTGCCGTCACGCGACACTCGATTAGTCGCCTGGCAATCTCGACTCAGCCACCTTCCATCTCCACTCAGTTGGGACGATTACTCCACTCTTATATCTCGACTTTCCCAATACTGCCAAAATGCCTCGCGCCCGCCGAATATCCCGCAGCCCTTCCTTGTTCCTGGTTGTGAGTCTCCCGGCCGACGCCTAGCCCCGCACCTTGCGTAATGCCGGATGTCCAGACAATAAGCAACGCGTTAGGTTTTGGCCATTACATCAAGCTTCCATCTAGGACGCGTCTTGCATAGACTCTCGCACGGACAAGAACCCAAAAATCGCGCTTCAAAGCTAACAAGACGCAGAGTTACGCACTTCCGAAGACCACATATGGAGCCGATATCCAGCCCAAGCAA